TAAATCCTCCTGACCTTGGCAATGGCTTCTTAGATATGACACCAAAAGCACAAACAAGGAAAAAAAAAAAAAAAAAACACAGATCAAAGGGACTATACCAAAATTAAAAACTTCTGCACTTCAGAAGCACCATCAAGAAAGTGAAAAAACAACCCATGGAATGGAAGAAAGTATGTGTAAATCACGTATCTGCTAAGGGACTTGTATGCAGAAGACATAAAGAGCTCTTACAACTCAATTAAAACACACACACACACACACTTAAAAACCAGGCAAGGGATCTGAATAAACATTTATCCAGAAAGACACATAAATGGCCAATAAGCACAAGATGAGATGCCCAACATCATTAGTCATTAAGGAAATGCACATCAAAGCCACGAGGAGGTTCCTCTTCACACCCACAAGGGTGGCTAGAATCAAAAAGGCAGTAACAAGTGTTGGTGAGGACGTGGAGAAGTCGGGACCCTCACCCACTGCTCTGGGAATGTAAAATAGTGCAGCCGTTTTGGCAGACAGTCTGGCAGTTTCTCAAAAGGAAACAGGCGCCATATAAGCAAGCAATTCCACTCCTAGGTGTATATCCAGGAGAAATTGAAATCTATGTCCACATGAAACCTGTACAAGAATGTTCACAGCAGCATGAGACCTAACAACCCAATGGTGAAAACAACCCAGATGTCCACCAATGGATAAATGGATAAACACAACATAGTCTAGCCAAAAAACTGAGTATTATTCAGCCATTAAAAGGAAGTACTGATACACAATACAACATAAATGAACATGGAAAACATTATGCTCAGTCAAAAGGGCCAGACACAAAAGGCCACATATTGTGGGATTCCATTTCCATGAAATATCCAGAAGAGACAGATCCACAGACAGAAAGCAGATGAATGGTCATCAGGGGCTGGCGGGTGAGGGGTCTGCTAATGGGTCTTGGGTTTCTTTTTAGGGTGTTGAAAACACTCTGGAACTAGATTGTGATGATGGCTATATAACCTTATGACTACACTAAAACCCACTGAATTATTTAAACAGGTGAACTGTACAGTATACAAATTATGTCTCAATAAGCTGCTAACAATAATTATATCACATATGACTGCATTCATTTATATACAAGAACTCATTCAAATTTATACACCATTAAGACTTTAGGTGAAGAAATGGACAAAGGGTAGGCACCAAAAAAACTCAAAGAACCAAGAGACGAAAATGTGCAAGGTATCCAAAGACAATGGCACTGGACATTTGTAATTACGGGAGAGGCTAGAGGACAGACAGACAGTAATGACAATTAAATATGTTCACAACACACAGGAACACCAAATGCTGGCAAGGCCAGGATAAAAGAGGGCACCTCTCTAACTGTGGCTGGCACCAATAAACCCATGTTTTCTGGAAAGCAATTTGGTAATTTGTGAAGAAAGCAATGACAGAACAGTTGCCAATGAGACACAAAGAAATACTACAGAGACGGGAGAAGAAATAGTAAAAATTTAGGTGGGCATTAAGAAAGGATTAGACAAGGGCACCTGGGTGGCTCAGTCGTTAAGCGTCTGCCTTCGGCTCGGGTCATGATCCCAGGGTCCTGGGATCGAGCCCCACATCGTGCTCCCTGCTCGGCGGGGAGTCTGCTTCTCCCTCTCCCACTCTCTCTGCCCCTCTGCCCTGCCCGAGCTCTCTACCTCTCTCTCTCATTCTCCCTCTCAAATAAATAAAATCTTGGGGGAAAAAAAAGGATTAGACAGTCTCAAAGTTAAATCAGAAATATATACAAGTTCACCCACAACCACAAAGAAAATTGCCTTTCCCAGCTCTGACTCTGAAGTGTTCTAGCAGTGACATCATGAGCCAACCCACCACCAGATTGTTGGAGAACACCACAAAATGAACCCGGAGCATCCAGACTGCTTCTAATAGTACTCCCCATGAAAAGAACTCAGGAAAAAAAAAAAAAAACGCAAACAAAAACAACACAGGACAGCAGTTAACACCATGTCTAAAAAGGAGGAGGCCCTCACAAGTGTCTGTGGTAGGAGGAAAGGGTGGGGAAGCTGGCCTGGAGCGGCTGTCACTAGCCAAGCTGTGACCCTGTAAACCCTAAAAAGCCATTAGTAAGTATAGCTAATCAGAATAAGCCAAAACAGAAAGATCCTGAGTCTGTAAGGATATACACAGGTGATAAGAAGTCTATCAATACTATAAAAAGGCAGGTTGATTACAATGAACATTTCATTTTATAAATCTGAATAACTAAGGGAGTGGTCTTACAGAGTCTGTCTCTTGTACTGTTTGTTCATAAAGGACAGACAAACATTTCCTCTCCATTTAAACAGGGCAAGGAGACACACAGGGAACTATGAAGAAACCAGAGGCCTGTAGAAAGTGTGCCACGAACAGGAAGGACAGGTGGGCAGGTAGCCAGTACTGTGCCCTGGGTGACAGCTCAGCCATCACAAGAGGAGAGCCGAAGGAGAAGCTCATCTTGAGATGCACTAAGCACATGAAGTCCAAAACCAATCTAGAGAGACACGATGAGGGCAGAGGCAGAGAAGGCAGCACCAGGGGGCAAGAGGCAGGAGCCCGGGCAGCCCCCACAGTGCTGCTTGAGCCCCTCTCCCTGCAGCAGGCTGGCCCCAGGAAGGCTGGCTCAGGCAGGGTCGGCCCTGAAGACACACCAGGCCCCAGCTCCCAGCCAAGGGATCACCATCAACGCTGGGGCCACACCACAGCTGGGAGGAGGCAGGCCTCTGTCACGTATAGGTCTGTGGAGAGCATGAGAACCCCAGGCAAGGTGCAAGCCTACCTTGGAGATATTGTGGGTTCAGTTTCACCAATGCAATAGAGTGAATGTCACAATAAAGTGAGTCAAATAAACTTCTTGGTTTCCCAGTACTTAAAAAATTATGCCTACCCTCTACTGTAGTCCAATAAGCGCCCAGTAGCATTATGTCAAAAAAAACAATGTCTATGCCTTAAATAAAAAAATACTTTATTGCTAAAAAATGCTAACCATCAGGAAGTCTAGCTAGCTCAGTCGGTGGACCATGAGTTTGAGACCCACATTGGGTGCACAGAGCTTACTTTAAAAAACAAACAAACAAACAAACAAACAAACAACTATCATC